CCGGTTTCCTGCCAAAAGCGGTTCTTGGGACCGCAACCGTAAACGCCAGTTCAACTCAGTGTTTGTACCGTCATCTCCAAGGACCTAAACGTAATGCCAACCCTTCCATTCTCGTCCGCTCACATTAATTTACCTCTGACTTCGCAGTTCTTCTCTACTGCATTTTCACTTTTCGCATTTGAGTCTGTTTATTCTTAAAAGAAAACTGCCTGATACAAAAAGCTTAGGTCATAATTTCGTCATGTTGCTCCATTATTACTTTGCATTAATACTTTTGGGGAGTCTGATAACTATCTAAATATGTGCTCTTTAAAGTCCCTTTATCTTTTTAATACAGCCATGATAGGTTTTATTTTTCAGAATCTAAACTATTAGATCTTAGAGTTGATCACTGAGTTGTTCCAGGTACATAAACAGTAGTTCTTTTCAAATACACTTTTTATGAGAAAAATGTCTTAGACTTTAAATATTTGTAAATTTTTTTTCTGTCCCACTACTTTCCTTCAAGCTCTCAATATGTAAATTCTGTTTCTTTGGGGCCAGTTTTTCATGTCCCCTTCTTCATCGCTAACCCTTTTATTTCTTCATTTCACTTTCACCTCTCTGCTTTCTTTAAGTCTCTTTCTGAATTTTTATTTAGAAGTATTACCCTTCCTCCACCTGGTAATATGCTGCTCATTTATAATGAGTTCAATGATGTCTCTTTCAGTTTGTCTGTTTTTGTGCTTAACCTCTGAATTTTTTATCTTCTGTATCCCCCAGTGCTCATGAGTATATTTAATTCTGCTTGGAATGCTGTCTTAACAATAACTAAGAGAGGATGTATGTTCCTTTGTTTTTCTTAGGCACTGTTACTATCCATATGATGATCATCATTTCCCTGATTATGCTCATGACATCTGGTTATTTACAAGAGTCTTTGAAGGATTTTTAATTATGTGTACATGTGTGCAGGTTTGTTGTATGTGAGTACAGTGCCTGTGGAGGCCAGAAGGCATCACACCTCTCAGAGCTGGAGTTACAGGTAACTGTGAGAAGCAGAATCTGGATGCTGGGAAGTGAACTCGGGTCCTCTGCAGGGGCAGCACTGAGTCTCGAGATTCTAAGTCACTGGGACCATGTGCTATACTAAGCAGTTTTGTTTGGAATGACAGCATGTGGATGGTGTGTCCTCCAATGTTCTGTTCACAGACCTCTGCGTTCCTGCTCCTGCTTCCCTTCCCTTTCACCAACCCAGTGACTGACCCTTTACACTGCACTTACTTTGCCTACATTTTAGATGCTAGCTGTGGGTCCATATTGCCAGTTCCCCTCTGCTCTCCTGCTAGGTGTCTCATTCTGTTTTGGTTTGATATGCAGCCTGAGAGTAAGCTAGGAGGAATGGAATTTGAGACTGCTTGCTGAAACCTGAAGCTTACTTCTTTTTCTTTTCAATCTATCTCTTTTTGAGCTCAGATCAGAGAACCTGTCAATCAGCGGCAGCTAAGAGAGCAACGTTCCTTATATAGCTGCTCCAGGTCAGCAGCTCACAGTCTGCATATGCTTCATAACTGTCCAGTAACTCTCAGAGGCTCAGCGTCATCTTCAACCCCCAGTCACTCTTGGTTAAGTGGGTTAGGCATAAATTCAAAATCTAACTACAAGGCTTCTGTCTGGAATTCACAGTTGTACACACCTCCCATCCTAATGCGTCTTTGTGGTTTCTTAAGAACAGGTACCTTTTTTTCTGACCAGTACCAGAGCAAACAATTCCAGCTCATCTATCATGACAGCACTAGCACGTGTGCGACAAATGTCAGCAATGCATTTCTTTCAGAGTAGACAGCACTCTTGATGGTCCTTCCTGGACAGTATTCATGGCTCCTCTTAAGAACATTCAGAACCTTCAGTTAAAGCCACCTGGACCATTCCAGTTAACCCTATGAATTAGTCATCAAAATATGATCCCTTTCAAAATCATGTAGTTGGCCATCCTCTGCTGTTCACCCTTTTCTTCCCCAGGTTCAAGGAAAATCTTGGAAATCTTCTGTGTAGTGTTCTAAATCTCAATGGCTGATTCTCTGCTTTGACATACTAGCCAGTGGATTTTAATGCTAAAAATCCCCAAAAGTGCCACCATGTACAAATATTTGAGAGACACAGTAGATGAAATATATGCCCTGTCCTATGTGCCACTAGATAATTTCTATGGATGAGTCTTCTTTTGTAGAAATCTATTTGTCAGCAGAACCTCCTGCAGTCACCTTGAGCTTTCAGTGTTTGGGAGACCTTGCATACTATAATTGTGAGACTGCCCTTGTTAAACATGTTCATTCTGGCTCTCCCTCTAACAGCTAAGTCAGTAGAACTAAGATAAATGCCAGTAATCTGCAAGTTCTCTAGAGAATTCTAAAGACATGCTTTTAGAAACAGTTTTAATCTACCGTATCGCTAAAAACATCAAAACTTCAAAGATAGCTTGCTTAAAAAAAAAAAAAAAAAAAAAAAAAAAAAAAAAAAAAGTGGGCAACTCAGCTCTTCAAAATGCCAGAAATATCTGCCTTTGCCAAAAGGCACCAGTTGTTATGGTCAATTGATTATTCTCTTCTGATTTTCTGTTCTCTTTTAGTTCCTTTGATATTTATACATATTCTGTGTGAGTCACTCAAACTTATGGTTTATGGTGTGACTAATACACTAGATAGATAGTTAATGAGCACAAGAGAAATACCATGAACCTCACTGGCACACAGATGTCCCCACCCCCATCTCCCACCTTTGGGCATCCCTTAGTCTACTCCAACCAAGTATTAAAATAGACCTGATTCCCACCACTACTGGGATCTAGGCAACTTTTCTTTAAAAACATTTGTTCCAGTTTTATTAGTTGGACTAATTCCATTGGGAAAAGCTGTCTGGCCATCAAATGTGCATGAAGACACTAGGTGGACAGGGAATCAGTCACTGCCAAGATTCCAAGAAAGAACAGAAGGATGGCAGTACCCCTGGCTGTGACTCATCCACTCTAACAACCCATGGGGAATTACCTAGCCTTCCTCTGACCATCTGCTAGTGACAGCTAAGAATCTGAAACTCCTTCAGTGTTTCCATCAGGAGACCTTTCAACATAGAGCAGAAGGTTGTTCCACAAGATGAGGATTTGAATTTTACCAGGTTACCCAATAGAATCAAATCCTGTTCTCTTTCAAGATACAAAATCACAATTTCTAAATATGTGGTCCATCAAATTTCACACCCCTCTACAACTGTGAGCTATGAGCTTACATTTAATTGTTATAAGGGTACATGTACTTATATTTACAGTGTGACATTTTAAAACAAGTGTAGAGTATAAATTACAATTTTTGAAAAGCAACTCAAATCTCAAAGGTGTATGTAAAATTAAATTTATAAACTGGTGATCAAGCCATAAGAATGCTAATAAGATGGGCCCTAAGCTCCTGGAAAGAAATGAAAACTTTACTAAAAGTCACCTAATTGCAAGTAATTTCCCTATTTTTTACCAAATAATTCTGTTAACAGGGCAAGCAGATTAACACATGCTTTTCCTCAGTTATAAAATTTAACCTAGAGCTGAAAACAATTTTTTATCACAAAAATATTTTTAAAAATCTATCTATTGTTAAGATTTGAATTACGGAGTAAACTGAAAGAGGAATTCAAATGGTTATAGTAATGCTTGGAGATACCTGTTAAAAACAGATAGTAAATTCATTTTGTCATACAACCACAAAGTGTTCTTCCTCATACCGATAACCCAAGCTGTCCCTATTTTCTGTCTTTTTTATTCTCTTAAATCTAACTTCTATTGTATTCACTGTATAGTTTTGTTTTCAAACTATGCATTAGTTTAAACAAGTTGGTGGTAACAGCTAACGTCAATCATTTTCAGTGCCCCACAGCATCCAGCACAGTAGCTGAACCATCAACTACGACAAATCACAACTGAATCCACATACAAGAAGTCTGTGACAAGCCTGGTTCCTGAAAAGCCCATTGGGGCTTCCAGAGACTTCTCTGACAGCCACTGCTTCACCTTCTTCAGTGCTTGCAGACGCCCACTGCCGACCATAACTCAAAGGGCCTACCTTTCTCTCCCCCTCTTCTCCATTTTCCTCCTCCTCCCAGCAGCTCCCAGGATTTATAGCTTGCCTACTCTGTGGTTTTTCTCTCAACCTCCAGTCATTTAAAGATTCACTGAATTTCACAAAGAAAATAGAATTTTACTTCACATTTAAATTAATCCCTCATAAAACCAACTTCTTCAAATGCTTGGGTAGAAGTTATTGTTCAAAAGTAATTTGCTTAAATATGAGAGGAAGCTGAGGAAAGAGCTCAGTGATAAAATGTTTGTCTATAATCCAGCATACATCAGGCCCTGGGTTCAATTTCTAGTACCTCAAAAAACTGAAATTAAATTTTTGATTATTGGGAACACCCACCCATTGGGGGTGGCACCATTCCCAGGGCAGAGATTCCCAGACTATATAAGAGTTGTGGAAATGAGTTGAATACTACCATGAACACATTAGTGCACAGCATGGCATATGACCGCGCGCTTCAAATTCCTGCTGCCTTAACGTCCCTATAAGAAAGGGATTATAACCTGGAATTGTGAACCAAATAAACCCTTTCTCTCTTAAGTTGCTTTTATCAGGGTACTTAACCATGGCATTAGGAAATGAAATGAAGACAATCAGATAATTAAGCTAAGCCCAAAAAGGCCCACAGAACTCCTGTCCAAGGAGCAGTATAAGGCTTCACATCTCATTCCCATGACGTGTACTTATTCTTGGTGCAAAACTCCTTTCTCTACAAAAGCAGTGAAGTCAGTAAAGATCTGCAGGATGCTGCTTTCTCCATTCTATACACATGGTAGAAAGGGGGCTAGCTAAACCATTTATTCACATACTAGGGGATATAATGAAGTTCCCACGATGATTAAATCATTGGTGACAGACACTGTCAGGTAAATACTGAAGACAGTCAAAATGCTTTACCTGTCGGCCTTCATGAGGAGGTTAGGTGGGAGTTCAACAAGCTGGTTATGCTGTACGTCCAAGACTTCCACCGATGTTCTCTCTAGCCTTTCAGGAAGCCTTGCCAACCGGTTGTGTCCTGCCAGCAATTTCCGGAGACTACTATTACAAAATAAGCTGTATGAAAAGGGACAAACAAGCAGAAAGCAACTATTTATACAGGGCTAATTTGGGATGAGCATTAAAAAAAGAGTAAGATTTAAATAACTATCATTCCACAAATTATACATTAATTCAGTGGAAGCCAACAGGTCATTTTAATTTATTAATTTTAGTTAATATATGTAAGTGTCTTCCCTATATGTATGTATAGCACATGGGTGCCTGGTGCCGTGAAGGTCGAAGAGGCATCCAGTCTCCTAGAACTAGAGTTACAGATGGTTGTGAGCCACCATGTGGGTGCTGGGATTTGAACTTAGTCTTATGCAAGAGCTGCCAGTTCTCTAAACTGCTGAGATATCTCTCCAACTTTAGCAGGTTTATTTTAACACAAACTTGGAGCTATTTGTATTTCAGTACTTTCTATATTTGTTTCCTAGAAGGAGACACTGAAGAGCTTGGCTTAATCTTGATTGACAAGGTGAGCATTACATAGCTGCACGCTTCTCCCACCCATAGGGTTAATTTCACGTCCAGAGTCTGAATAAACATGGCTGAGCAATCTTTAAAGACGATCAACAGGAAACAAAGTCTGCAACGCATGAAGCTTTTATAAATACAGCCAGAAAAAAGTTACATTTCACTTCATTTATATTTCATAATTCAGCCTTTCTCTTTTCTCTCCCCAGTGCCTACATGTTTGAGGAAGGCATAGCTTTATCCTATACCAAAGTACACACTCTCTCTTACAGAGAATAGAACAAGTGGGTTCAATTAACTGCAGTATGAATATCAGCACCTACGGTGCTTCTGCATTAGAGCTAGGTACATCTCGGGCACTGTGTATGTGTGTGTGCATTCATAGAGACAACATAGGTGAGCACTGGCCATCTTCCTCAATCATTCTCTATGCTTTTGAGGCACAGCCTCCCACTGACCCATGGGCCACCCACCAGGTAAACTGGCTGGCCTCTGGACTATAGGGACCCACCTGTGTCTGCTGCCTACTGCTAAGGTAACAGCCACATGAAAACACGCCTGGCATTTATAATGTGGGTACTGAGGATCCAAACTCAGGCCCGTCTTCTTATGGAACAGGCACTTTATTGACTGAGCAATCGCCCCAGGCCCTGGTCATAATTTTAAGAGTCAACTAAACAAAGCCTGAAGTAAAGCTCCAATAAAGGCTAAGCTGAATGTTACTATTCATATATGCATTGACATTTTTGATTGTATATTAGTAGAAACAACTTTTCTCTGTCCTATGACTGGTTAAAGGTGTTGAAAAGCACTGAATTTAAATTTTGGTAGCAACTGGCCGTCAATTAAATTTAAATTAAAGTTAACAGTCAGTGCCGTGGTCGGAAGGGGCACACTTCAGATGCCAGGCGTCACACTTAGGGCAGCACTGGGGTGACCACTACATTCATCACGGAACATTCTCCACAACAGCCGGAGAAAGACTTCTCCTCGTTTACCAACTAATCTATGGATACAAGAAATCATCACATGGCTACCGTAAAAATCTTATCATTAAGGAACAAATTACGACGGACTGGCAAGGTGGTGCAGTGAGTAGAGCTCTTGCTGTGAGGCTGACAGTGGGCATTCAGATCCCCAGAACCTGTAAAAGCCGGAAGAAGTGGCACTCATGTAGGAAGTCCTTGTGCGTGCATGGGCGAAATGCGGGTCTCCAGACATTCCAGGGCTACTAGCCTGATGTAGCATTAGTGGGTAACGTCCTGGCTTCCCGGGTGGACGGTGAGGACTGACTCTGGCCCCCACGCGTGCAGTGTGCACATCCACCTCTTTCAACATTACTTAAAACAAAAATTATGAAAAGGAGAAAAGGTGATTGTAGATTTCCTATTTCAAATTAAATCTTAGGGAGAAAAAGACAATCTACTCTTTGGAGGTTGAGCTAACAATACCCACCTGCCTTGTAGCCCACCACCACCAAAATTATATCCTAGGAAAAACAAAAATTATCTAGGGCAAGGTAGACAGACAGAGGCAGAGAGATTCTGAAGGAATTACAATCCCAGAGGTAAGTCACTTACAATGTCTGCTAAGTCTCCTAACATTTCTTCTGGTTTATTCATAATTTTCGAACAAATACCACTAACTGGAATGGATTTACAATGTCAGCCTGACAGTCAAAGGCTTATTTTATTCTCCACCCACGACAATACGTAAATAAAAAACAATGAATGCATTTTAATACAGAGTCTCTTGGGGTTCCTAATATGCTAATACAAACACTAAGTCAGCATAGTATTTTATTTTGTATCCTCTCATTCGATCTGAAATACCTACCGGGCAGGAAGTTCACATATTTGATTATGGCCAATATCCAAAACTTCTAACTTCCGGCTTTCGCATACCCACTCAGGCACATTTTCTAGGCAGTTTCTAAAGAAAATAATATAAAAATTACTATTTTAAAATTTAAATCTCGTCTGCAATACGTAGTTTATTATTATTATTTTTTTAATTTCTATGTGTCTGTGCATGCATGTGCCCACTGAGATCAGGAGAGCATAGGATCCCTGGAGCTGGAGCTAAAGGCAGTAGTCAGCCACTGGTGTGCTGAGAGTGAGCTCCAGTTCTCTGCAAGAGCAGTGCATACATTTCACTACTGGGCCAGCACTCCAGTCCCTCAAATACAACTTCAGAGAAACAAAACTTTAAAATTCAACGTGGACACAGCATCTGTATCACCTCCAACACCTAAAAGATTTTCTACAAGTCTTTAGAGACCACTGCACACTCAGAAAGACGGCTACTATTGAGAAAATACACAGTGATCCAGTTAAGTCAAGTGATAAACTGACACATTTTTATTTTCAAATTTACAATTTATCATTGGCATTAAAATAATTCCCAATTCTATTTGGCATCATGGAAATACAGCTATTGGGAAAAATAGAAAGTGAAATGATTCATTAACAGTTAAAACTTAGAATTAATCATTTGGAAATGTTTACTTGGGAATTTGGCAATAGTTACAGTTACTAGAAACTGAACCAATAACAACTTTATTAAATTATCTGACCATTAGAAAAATATACTATACTTAGATTTCTTCCTTTAACCTTTAAATAAAAATATGGGAAGTAACCAGGTACACACAAAAACTTATAGGTATTTCTCCCTTCTCCACCCCTCAGGCAAGGGATGCAAGCAAAGGCCTCTCACATGCTCATCAAAATGATTTCATTATGAACAGATGAACAAGTCTGAGGAAGTATGATGCTTGGGAAAAGGGCAGAAAAACATTTTAGCAAAATGGCAGACTGATATACATGAAGTTAAAAAATTAAATTATAAAAGTTTTGATTAAAATAGTGAAATAGAAGGCATTATTTTCCTATTATTTATATAGGTATATACTGCTGTGCTCCAAAAAGTATTTAATTTTATAATAGTTAACTCCTAAAAACAGATTAGCAAGATAGGGAAGCAGAAAAGACCCAGACATGAGATTTACAATGAAAGATGAATAATATTTAAGTGACAAATTCAGTTATCTGACCTAGGAATTTTTTAACTGATTTATTGTTATTAATTACAGTTTATTGACTTTGTATCCCCCCTGTAGCTCCCTCACTTCTCCCCTCCCAATCTCCCTGTCCCTCTCCCTTCTCCACTCATGCCCCTCCCCACAGTCCACTGATAGGGGAGGTCCTCCTCTCCCTCCTTCTGATCCTAGTCTATCAGGTCTCATCAAGACTGGCTGCACTGCCTTCCTCTGTGGCCTGGCAAGGCTGCTCCCTGCTCAGGATGAGGTGATCAAAGAGCAGGCCAATCAGTTCATCTGACCTAGGAATTTCAGTGGATACCATCTACCATTACATTCTATATGTAAGATGAAAATAGGTTCACTCTGTAATCAGCAATCTGAAATATACCTGCACAAGGTATTTATATGTAGCTATGTATACAAACATGTTTTCATTTAAAAGCTAAAAAATTAAATCCAGAGTTGCTAAGAGGGGTGGGAATAAAAACCAAAGAACTTATGTAATGTTTGACTTTAAGTTAATAAATAAAACTGTAGAAACTTTTCTGGAAATTCATGAAACAATTCACAGAACTTTATAACTAAGTTATAGTAAAGTTACAATAGGAATAATTTTCCCCATAGCTGAAAACCAAGAAGGTGCTTATTGTTAACATAGCTAAATTGTGTACTTTCATGATGAAAGGTGAAGCCCTATACTGCCAGCTCACAGTGGTCTTGGGATTACAAAGGATGATCACTCACAAGCACAACACAACCCGTACCCGAAAATGGCTGAAGAGCTGGCATCTTCAGAGAGCCAGAGGCCATGTGTTCTGAAACTCGGGCTGTTTCCTTACTGAGTTTGAATTTTAGTGGATTAAAATTACTGGTTTCACTTGTGTAAATGCATGCTACAGACAGAGTTGGGCCCTTACATCATCAGGGAGAAACAATATATTTTTGTATTTTAGGCACTGGGATAAGTGAGGCTCATTGCAAAAGCAAAGCTGAATTGACGTCAGAGGCTCTGCCTACCTAAAAAAGCTAAGAGTCCAACATCTGGAGCTTTTGTCGGGTACATGTGTATACAAAGTGACAAACAAGAACTTAGAGAAAACACACAAGATGGAATAATGTACGTAAAGGGATATTGGACTTCCAAGTCACCTTGAAGTCTCCAATATTTCAGCCCCAACCTGAGGTCCAAATTGTTCCCATGGTGGAGGGCTCTACCTCAGAGGTAGAGGCTTGCTTAGCTTGAATGAAGCCCTGAGTCTGAACTCCAGTTTGGGGGAGGGGGGGTGGCATCCAAAAGGTAGGCATTTGGGCTTTTTGTTTTGTTTTTTAAGTGAAACTTCAGAATAAGTTTAATTTTTATTATTTTAAAATAATTTGGATTTTATTACTTTTCTTCAAAATCTATGAAATCTTGGGGTAGGCTCAGAATCATCTAAAGAACTCTTATAAGGCCAGCAGTTAGGTGAGATGCTGTCTTCTTACCTTGAGACATCCATGTAAGACAGGTAATTCGGAACCGGGTAAACATCAAGCTGAACGAGCTCTATGAGGGGAAAAACCACAAATATATTACTGTGAACGTGACTCTTTGAGGTAGAATAGCATTGCAGTTTTGCTGTCCTCTGTGTACAGTTTTCTTGTGTAACTTTAAAATTGCAGGAGAGCAGAGACATCTTCCAATGCCAGGTAAGACATTCATTCTCTGCTCCTATTTGTTTACATGGTTTCTCACTGTTAGGAGTGCTAACCTGCACCTAAAACATCACTCAAACGAATACCATATTTTTAATACTCACACAGTATTCGTAAAAGCAAAGGCTTCCTGTTTTTGATCCCTCATGACTGAATAGTGAATTCTGGAGAGTCATAAATGGGGTCTGCTAATCAAGTCAGCAAAGTTCCCAAACTTTACGAAATGGGACACCACTGTCTAGGTAGGGCTCTGTTCCTTGGGCCGAGCAGTTTCTGGAAGGCCTGCTTTCTTAGTTCACAAGTTCATCTAGTTGCCCACTCTGGTTCCAGCTGTGAGCCCCCGCTCTCTTCTTTCCACTGTTTGAGACACCCAGATTACAGCGGCTGAGGCACACATCCCAGTTAGCCTGGCTGCAGGTTCTCTTAACTCACATGAAGTCCGTTTAGTAGCCTGGATAACTGGTGTACCTCTCTCATCAGTGTAACTCGTCTACTGCGCTCTCTCAGGTTATGTCTGAAAGTGTCACTTCTATCACACACCTTTCTTCCTGAGGATCTCTCCTAGATCCTATGAATTGTACTGTATTCAAAGTCTCACTATCCGACTCACACCACACATCCATAATTAATAAACAAGCCCTAAAATTAACAGCCAAGAATCTTACTTTTATGACATTCCAGTGGGTACATAGTTCAGGTTTATCTTAGTAATCCCACTGTCAGTAGAATATAAAATGGCAGGTCTTGAAGGGGGCCTACAATGGATTTTCCTTCCACCCTCTAGTATTTAATCAAGTACCAAAGTAACAGTTTACTTTGCCCCTCACTTGAAGCAGAAGAAACAAATGACCGGTGGGAACAATTTTATTATGATACACAAAACAAGCTAGAGACAATTAAATTGTCCCTTCTGAGTCTGGTAAATAGCAAGTGAACATTCTTCTTTTATGCCGTTTCTCTTGGAAGGGTTTGACACTCATCTTAGTAAATGCGGAAAGAATGACGTCAGTAAGGCACAGGCGATGGTGCCAGGTACACGGAGCAGCTCGGATGCAGTCTGCCACTTACCGTTAGAAGAAGCATAGAGTGCTTTTAGGGAATAGCCACAAATGTTCAATGTCACCAGCTGATTCCGTTCACAGTGCAGAACTTCTATGTTGTGGAAAATCATGGCATCCAGATCAGCAAGTTGATTGTCTCGCAGGTCAAGCTGAGTGACGTGCTGCACAAAGTCCACTCCGTCTGCTGCCAGCTTTCTGAGGATGTTCAGTCTTCAGGAGGAAGGATACAAACACAAGTGACTTAACTACAGTACTGCAAATAAACTGCTGAATCCAAGCACCGAGAAAGGGCCCATGTCTCACTGTAGTAGAGTTGTCCATTCCTTCTTTAATCTTAGCATCTGGCCTTGTTTAACTGGCAAGATTCTCTAGTTATTTTTAGCTACAATTATAAGACATCTGGGCCTTTATGATATATTTTGAGACACAATTTAGGAGATAAAGGCTGGAAGAGGAGCAAGTCTTCAAGAGAAGAAAAAATATCCACTTACGCACTTACTTCCAAAGAAAGAAGTTGAGAAAGTATAGACACCATACTGTAAAGAACTTCGGAAACAAATCCAGAACCACCAGAGACACGCTACAGCTACAATGGCTCCCTAAAGGAAGAGATGGGATGCATTGAAAAGAAGATGGGCAATCTCAAAGAACAAACTCAAGGATAATGACTTCAAGTCACATACTGAATGGGAGCACCAGAGATGGGAATGTAGGTACAGCGATTCTTGATTCTCAGGATCAGGACTGATAGCCAAAGCTATTTCCACACATGGAATACTACACTACTTGAAGAGCAAAGCGCAGAAGACACTGAACACTGGCAAAGAGGAGTTATTGAGAAATCATAAAATAAAGGACATCAATGGGGATCAACAGTTTTAGAATAGATTGAAACATAGGAAAAATGGGTTCTTTTACCATGACAACTAGTTGGTTAACTGGAACTATTGCAGATGAGGTGCCAAAGACAAGCATTAATGGATCAATATGACAAAGATATGAAACCGATTTAACAAATATAAATTAGTTTCCACTTCAAGAAAATAGATAAAAATGTCACTTCTTGGTACCAAGGTTGGAAAGAAACAACATCTCCCCCAGGTGAGAAAGCACTGAGTGTGTGCACTTGGTTAAGGCACTGGTACTATGCACGCAGTTTAAGACCAGATGTCCTCTGCAGTTTCTGCCCTTTTAAAAACAAAATAGAGCTATGTATACGAACTATTAAGAGAAACATCAGAAGGCCACCGAGTGAAGCACAAGGATGAGCAGCAGCACTGGGCTAGGATTTGTCAACAACCAAGTGCAGCACACGGTGTCTTCAAATGTCCCTAAAGTGATGCTTTGTTTCCTTCTGTTCTTGTTCTGGGTTGCAAGAGTCAACATTTGGCTTTAAGCCAGAAATTTGTCTATTTCCAAATGTTCAATAGACTATCAGACTAAAAAACAAGCCTCATCTTGGACACAACAGAACTGAAGGAATTTAAAGAATCTTTCATGTTCTCCACCAAATATACTTTGAATAACCATACAACATTGTTATCTTCATTTCCAACAGCAACCCACTCACAAGTTACTGCTTTGGTACTAACATGATAAAAATATTTATTTTAATGAGAAAGTCTAGAAGGAAAGTCTAGAAGGAAAGGAAAGGAAAAGTGATATTCCTATGTGTGAAAGAGTAGCCTGGAGAATTATCTTCTAGCTCCAGGTACAAACCTTGACCACTAGCCACCTATCTCTTATCTGTGAAATGAGAAAAAACATCTTTCTTATTCTGCAATACAGTTAAGAAACTGAAAGAAATATCTGTATTCCAGTTATATGTGTACTGTGAAGAGCTGTGGTCATGGTGATGACGAGGATAGGAGAGTGGCAAGACAAAGTGCTTCACAATGTTCTACAGGAGAACTGTAGTATGTGATGGGTGCTGTAACAGCGCACAAAATACAGAGAACCTACAAAGCAGATGCTACTGAAAAGAAAACACTCATCTGAATCCCGGGGTGTGGATGGCAAGGCGAAGCAAGTCACAGGGAGCTGCACTGTGGCCTCTGGACCAAAGGCAGGAACAAAGTGTGGCCTTCAAGCATGCTATAGACTAAGCGGAAGGAGCAGTAACGTGGCTGGCCACGCGCGTGTGTTGCTCTTTTAACAGTGTTTACCAACGGCTTCACCTACAGATGCTAACACTGGGGGATCAAGGATGAGTAAGAGCACTGCCTAAGGGGCAATGACAAGGGATCTATCTTAGGAATTTCTAAGACTCTACGGTTCACAGCACACAGCTTCCATCAAATGTGATTTGCTGTACAAATCTAATACATCAGCTTTTTCTGTACAATCAATCTGTCATAAAGTGCTTGAATACAATAGCTATGTCAAATCACTAATTCTAAAATACGAGTTTCTAGCTCATTGTGGGGAAAAAATAAAAGAAATGGTTCCCCAGCCCACATTGGAGGACACATGTGAGTGGCTCTAAGACAGAACCTTACTTGTACAGGACTTGTATGTTAGTAGGCTGAAAGCAGATAAATGAGCCAGGAACACTTAGCTCATGCTTCATAGGTACAGGAGAGTATGTAAATAAGAGAAACAAGGATAAATTTTCCAGCTGGCAACTGAAGGGAAATTGGTTCCAAGGAAGACAAAAAGAGCTAAGGAAACATCTAAGAATGATTAAAATCAAGATGGTCAAGAAGAAAGATGAAGCTGTGAATACACCCCACCCAGAAGGTAAAAATGCAGAAAGAGAAGCCAGCTAAGAGAATTGGGACTAGCTACCGCGGGGGCGGGGATTCTTAATGCTACAGAAGAGGGGTTTTGAACAAAGATTGTCAATATGAGAGAAAGGATGAAAAAAATGGTGGTTTTAAGTCTGAAATAACATTTCTTTTGGAAGGACCTACAATAAAATTAGATGTTTGCAGCTGGGTATGGTGGCACATGCCTTTAATGCCAGCACTGAGGCAGGTGGATCACTGTGAGTTTAAGGCCAGCCTGGTCTACACAGCAGGTTCCAGGACGGTCAGAAGATTACACAGAGAAACCCACAATTCCACAAACAAAACAATACATATCAACTTAGAGGAAACCCTACCCCATGTTACTCTACTAGCTTTCGTTGAAAGCGCAGGGCAGAAGTACAAGCAAATCTGCAGTTTGCCCTCTGCTTTAACACAGGAACCCAAAGGAAGCAGTTACCTACGCACTCAGTATTTACCAAATGTCCCGTGTCTCCTCTGATAAGCAGTACCTACCCGATGGCATCAAAAAAGTCTCAAATTAGATTAGCAATCTCAGGACTTCACAAAGCTCTAAGAAATGTTACTTCTAGACACATTAGAGCAATCTTATCTGTAAGTTCCTTCAAGAAAAATGACTGCTTTGTCACATTTACCACAAAACTCTGAAACTGACCTCAGGCTTATTACCTGAGGTCAGTGTCCATCACTGCTGGCTATAACACAGCTCTAACACTGAGTCACTGAAAAAAAAAAATGGGCCTAAATTCTGAAATAAGAAATTATATTCAAGCAACCCAGAGTTGAATAACATTACATTTTTAAATAATTTTAACCAGGCAAAGTGTTGGTCCCTGTCTCATTCTAAAAAGTTCTCAAACTCAGATAAATTACAATTATTTATATTTGCCAAAAGAAGAATTCTAGCCCTGCACACCCTTAATACTCCCCCAGTTAGGAAAGCCTGCCTGCTTTAGGGTGAGAAGATGAGGCAAGCAGTTCTGTTGACAAGATATATGGTCCACAGGCCACACCACGTAAGGGAGAAGGGAGAAAATACAGCTACTTTACTGAATGATCCTCAGAAAGCACCTGGGTTAGCAAGAGATGAAAGTGGGCAGTGAAACAAGAACGGGGCCACCTTCCACAAGCAGCAAAGATGCCAAGAGAGACAGCTGAGCAGGCTTCATGAGTCAGGACAGCCCTCAGTCAGGTAACAGCTGAACATAATCCCCACTGGGAGTGCTCTTTTCATTTCTGATTTTGCTGAACTGGATAGTTTCTTTCTGCCTTTTAGTTAGTTTGGCTAAGGGTTTGTCTATCTTGTTGATTTTCTCATAGAACCAGCTCTTGGTCTCATTGATTCTTTGAATTGTTTTCTTTGTTTCTAATTCATTGATTTCAGCTCTGAGTTTGATTATTTCCAATTGTCTATTCCTCTTGGGTGTGTCTGCTTCTTTTTTTTTTTTTTTTCCTATGGCTTTTAGGTGTGTCATTATGTTGCTTGTATGAGATGCCTCCAAATTTCTGGAGGCACTTAGTGCTATGAATTTTCCTCTTAGCACTTACTCCCATAAGTTTTGGTAAGTTGTGGCCTTCATTTTCATTGAATTTTCGGAAGTCTCTAATTTCTTTTTTCTTTTCTTCCCTGACTAAGCTGTCATTGAGTAGAGAGTTGTTTAGTTTCCATGTGTATGTAGGCTTTTTGTTATTTCTGCTATTGTTGAGGTCTAGTTTTAGGCCATGTTGGTCTGAGAGGATAAGCAAAGCTCAGAGCCACTTGGATGAGTTTAAAAGAAATCAAAACAATTTAGCTTAATGGATACTTTAAGAAAAACAAGAAAGAAAAAAAAAATCAAGAGATGCTGCACTGTACCAAACGGCTCAGGTAAAATACAGATAAGAAAGACAAAGAACACTCTCCACTGTGTGCTCGATGATATTCAGTTAACATCAACAGTTCTCTACCCCAGTGCGCCTACAGACTGATGCAAATTCAAACTGGGTTCAAGTTTACAAACCAAAGCAAGACAGAGTCATTCATCAGTGGGATTTTTTTTTAAGGCAAACTTCAGGGATGAGCAAACCACACAATTTGACATTTCCTCCCTCTCAGTGATAACCCACTAACCAGACAGTTTGGCTAACTCACCGCACAATACAAGCAAGTCACTCAAGTGGGATGTATTTCTCAAAAGAGGTTACCTTAGGTCCACGTGTTTAATATGAGGCATTCTTCTTAAAGCCTGTAGCCTGAGGGTCTCCATACAGTTCCCAGCCATGCAGAGTTTGTCCACAGCAGTCAGCTTCTCCAGTACCTCTGGAATGTCAGTGAACTCATTAAAGGAAAGACCCAGATAGTTGAGCTGGTGCATCTTTTCCAACTCGGCTGGGAGAGAGTGGAGAAGATTCCCATCCAGCAGGAATGTCTGCAAGCTATCAAAGAGGACAAGGGTTACACAGAAGAGTGTACATTCTTACACTTTATCATCAACAGACAAGTTCATGACGATCATGTTACTACAGAGCTGCAAAATGCACAAGAACAAGGCAGCAGCTAACAGTGGACAAGGAGGGGGAAGATCAGAAATAAAGACCTTAACCTTCTATTGTTACCAATCTCCTCAACTGCAAAGGCATACATGGAAATGTGATAACTGTAATACAAACCAGCCCAAATATATATCATTCCCTTTTTTTTTCCTTAAAATTTAATTTCTTAAGACTTAAAATTCAATGACTCAGAAAAGAAAATGGAAACTCCTTCTATTTAGATATACTCAATTATAAAGAACCTCAGTTGAAAATAATGGTATTTGAATTTTTATTCAACTTCTCTATACTCTTTAACAAGTGAACTCTACATAGACCACACAGCGCCTTAGTGCTAGGTCTGAGGCCGACACCTAATTGGCAAACATAACAAATTAATCAGTATGATGTGCCACTTGTAAGCTTTCCACAAACAGCCCCGGTGGTTTAAAGTACTCACTTCTGCATAGCTCCAACAGCTGCTGGGACTTCTTGCAGGGCATTGCAAGATACATTCAGCTCTGCTAGGGTTGGAATGCTGCAGACCGCTGATGGAAAGGCTCCTAGGTGGTTATTGGAAAGGTTAAGGCTCTTCAATTTGGTAAATCTATATAAAACAGAAAGAAGAAACAAATGTCTCAAATGCATGGCACAACCTTGAGGATAATCCTGCTCAGCTCCCTGGTCTGAGGTAGAACTCGAAGCCTTCAAGGTTTAGGAGTAGCAAAGCCAGAGAACAATTCTAGGTCCAAGGCCAGTGTTTTAACTAAAATGTACACATTATTCAGCAAGACCTGTTGTAAAATCAGGCTGACTGAGGAATAAGTTCTACTGGAACTTTTTAAACTGTATTGCCCTTTACACAATTAACACCCAAGTAAATGGCCGTGGGAAGAAGCCAGAGCAAGCAAAGCTGGAAAACATGGCTTTCTGTTGTCTCAGACAAGCGCAAAAAGTTTTCCTCTCACCTCCAACCCTACCCAGTATAACAAACTATCAAAGTCAGTTTCCTGGACGACCAAGGCTCTGCAGTGTCAGATTTAGGAACCAGTTCCCACAACTGCCCATTCAATACAGCACTTGATGCTGCTGCCCACACAGCCTTCTCACAGATCGCATCTCAGTAAGGTTCATCACAGAGCTTCCCAACGCTCTTCTACCCTCTTCCTCCATAGGAACATTTTCCCTTTATCTCTTCTTCCCCCTCAGACCAGTACTCCTGGCCAGTATGTTCTTTGTCTTATTCTTGCACTATAATCATCGTCCTTGAAAATCTCAATGTTGCCTGATCAGCTCACTCAATCCAATCACAAACTGCCTCTGCTCTGAGCCACCCAACCTCTTCCATCAAAAACTAAATTTAGCAAATCTTGATTCCCACCCCAATAAATCCTTCCACCTGCTTTATTTTTGGTAAGGTCCTTTTATTTTCTCAGTTGTCCAAGAAACCAGGAGCTGTCTTTAATTTTTACTTCTCTATGTACTCACATTTACACTCTGAACATCATTTCTATGTGAGAGGAGAGTCAATAAAATCTTTCCAAGACTTCCCCAGCCTAATACTTGAAACTAATACTTTACACTCTGCCAAGAGCAGACATATGATCACATGACCTATTTACTGAAATTTATATTAAAAATATTAAGCTGCAGTCCAAAAGAAATGTAAATTTTTATTCAACATAGAAAACTGAAAATTCACCTGCTGAACAAGGTCAGAGTCTTGGCATTATTTTTAATAACAGCTACCTTACTGGATGCATGAATATAGATATTTTAGTAATTTAAATTGAAAAAGGCAAATTATTGTTTAACTGAATCACCATTTTTAAGTTGTTTTCCATGTTATACTTTGATCCATTAGCTCTTCAAAGACACTGTTTATTGCTCTATAATCATCTTCCTTGGAAATCTCTCTGCTGCCTGATCAGCTCACTCAGTCCAATCACACACTGCCTCTGCTCTGAGCCACCCTACTCCACCCTCTCAAATACAAGGTAAGAGGACAGGCTATGCTATTCTTAGTGCAGCAGTTTGCAATGGATGCTTGAGGAACCTCCAAAGAGGCTTCTAAGACCCTTTCATTAAATTCCAAGGTCAAAACTATTTTTACAATACAAGGACTCACCCCATGTGCTTTTGCTGCCTGTGCTTTCTCTTGGGGATCTAACAGAAGTTTCAGCTTGCATGCGCTTGTGAGAACACACCTGACTGAATACACCAAGAATCCAGACAGACAATAAAAGACTTGAAAAAATAGAAAATGATGACGCCCATTTTGAAATTTGTGTTATGCAAAACTGTTTTCACTAAAAAGTCAGTATTATCTATACTTTATCTTGCTTTTCATACATAAATCTGTTTGAATTTCTAATTAAGTAAAAACATCAGAATATAGAATTCACATAAAGAAAGGCTACTGATGTTTTCCAGGTTTTGAGAGGGCAAGAAAGTCCTGGAATAGGGTTGCCAGATAAACTACAGAATGTCATTAACTATGGTATGCAGACAGTTAATTTTTTCTCATTAAGTATGCATGAGATATACTCAGGTTAAAAAAAATTATTTGTAACTCAAATTTAATTGGTCCTTGCTTCATCCCTTCTCCCCCTCAAATATAGCAACTTTCCCTCAGAAGTTTTTGTCACTGCAGATGAAACCACATTCAAGCAAAACAGTGGCCCTCTTTCTAGATGCTTTCCACACTTGGTAAGAACAGGGCATAGCTTGAAATTTTGTACACTATCAAACTGAAAGTTTAAAAAGATCTTCTAGAAAGTAACTGATCCTAGACATTCTCCACAAAAAGAACAGGATTTCAAAGTCAGTACTAATTAAAAGGGGAAACAGAAAGTGTGGCTTTTGGAGAAGTCAGTAATGGTGCTGGACAAGATAAAACTCACTCATGCAAACTAAATTTACCAGAATTCTATCACTGCTGAGAACAAACAAAACAGCTGACATGCTTAATAGAATGGGAGGCTCTTAGCAAGTATCTGTCATTCATTTGTATTAAAATGACTGCTCTCTATAAATATAAAGAAAAGTAAGTACAATTATTTTCTGAATCAACTCAGTGACAAAGAACTGAAGGACTGAGGCCAGAATTTCTCAATCTGTGGGTTCAGACCACTGGAAAACACATATTTCTGATGGTCTTAGGAACTGAGTCATCGCTCAGTAGTAAAAATACAGTTATGAGGTAGCAACAAAACAAATTTATGGTTGGAGGTCACCACAATATGAGGAACTGTATTAAAAGGCCACAGCTTTGGAAAGGTGGAGAACCACTGGCTTAGGTAATGGAAGTAGCCTTAATATAAGGGTCAAGCGTCCTCTGAAGAACAGAACAGGACTTTCCTGCCATGTATCCAGGCTGCAGGCAGATACAACAGCAGTTGAAAAGGAGGGAGTCCAAAGTGAGGAATCCACATATAAGACACATACTGGTCGGGGAATCTCTCACCCAAAATAACTGGAATCATTTGGGAGTAATAGAGTATAGCATAGTATATAGTATAATGCATGCATGCATGCATGTATGTATGTATGTATGTATGTATGTATAAAACAATATTTGGGAGATTTTGTCAGTATGGACCACTGGTTGAACATACATGGTCACACATTCCAAAATATTTATAGAGTATCATAACAATACTCAAAAAGTTTCATATTTCTGAGTATTCCAGATTTTAGACTTTTAATTAGGGAATAGATTTCGACTCCTAACACTAGACATGAGAGAAAAAAGGAGAGGCAAGAGATGCTCTGAACAAAGCCGGGGGTCAGAAAGGGGGTAACATTATTGTTAGACAACTTCCTACTGACGAGGGGCATCTAGTTCCTTGAGGAAATTTTGCTCTTTGCCATCAGGATATCTCATTTCTTCTTTGCACACAACCACTTAATAAACTGTGACCAACAACAACCACCCAACAACCCACCCTGCCTCTTGGTGCCTAGCATTTATTATATACCCTCTGAAAATTCCCCAGAATTCCAAATGTCACACAATCACCGAAACTATCTGCAGCTGGCAAAATCATGTCCTTGCTGGAGCATGAGGCAAACCACAGTAAGCTGCTGTGAACAATCTGAACCAGCCCCATATCTCCACATTAAAATAAAAACACACTCTTATAATATTTCTGTATTAAAAAAAAAAAAACCAAAATTCCAAGTATCACTACAGAGCCACATTCAATGTGGACACTCCTGTCTTTTTCTAACCAGAATTTTGAATCTTCAGTGCTGTAATCTGTTTTCTGCTTATACAGAAGAACTCCAAGAAGTCTAAGGTTTAGAGTTGCTGAGACAGACGAATTTTACTGCTGGAGAATTATGACTAGGAAAGTTGGGTTTTTGGAAATAATCTTTACTCTCACTGTGCTTTTTCCACCTCTTGGAAGAGTTTGGGGGATTGGCTGTTCAGGAATGGATGATCCAGGGCGTGGAAAATGTGGCCAAAGGGATTTGTGAGAATACTTGTCTATCAGAGTCAGATCCCACAGTTTGCAGCTCTAGAATAGGAATGTAAGTAGAGGCCACATCCCATGTATTTCAATGTTTAAATTATACTCAAGCTAGAAAATGTGCAATAAGTTCTTTTTCTCATGTCAAATATACAGTGCCCCATAAGTGTAGATTCAGATTACATGCTCTGGGCTCCAATACTATACAGCAGCAGCCAACTTGAACCACTTTGAAGTTATTTTATTTCCCAAGCTCACAAATAAAATGGCAACAGGAAAGTTGTGTGATGACATAGATACAGCCATCTTTCAACACACCACTGTTAAGAATTCAATATAATTCTATCACTATACAATATAAAAACTATCATATCAGTATATAATATAAAAACTATCAGTCACCATTCTTAGCCATGAATAGAAAATGTATTGTAGAAAAAAAAGCTATCTTTACACTCATTTTCTCCCAACAAGAGTGGAAACATCAGCAATAGGAATAGTATTTCAAATACCTTATCTATTTACACAGAAAACAATTTCAGAATAGTGTTCCCAAACTACCAAAAAATATAAAGACTGACTTCACGTTCCAAAGTAAGCAGTCTATTTCAGAAAAAGAAAAGTAGTCGTTTCCATTGGGCCCACAACAGAGCTCAGAGGGTGAAGTAAATCAAGTAATGTGCACACAGAGCCTAATACAGGAAATCTTGACCATTAAAATGATGCTGCATGATACAGCGTACAGCAGTAGACTGAGCAGACAGCGGCAACACTTCAGGAGTTGAGATTGGCCTACTCCAAAGCTCCAAGGAACATGTTTGCTTTTCAGCACTACTAGCACAGCAAAGTCCAGGCCTTGGATAGACTCCAAAGTTTTCAGTGACTATGGTTTGTTACAAGTTTGCCTTTCAAACTACAAGTTTGCCTTTCAAATTAAAAGCCCCATGTATAATGAAGTACATGATTACTTGTTAGGAATGGGGCCTCAAGTGACAGGTGCAAAGTGGAGTCAGAGACAAGACAGTGGAATGAAAATATCAATAGCACTACTAGTCAGGTTGATGCAGTTCCTTATTTTCACCCTTATTCTATTTACATCATGAAAGCACTAAAACCAGACAGGAGATGTTCA